TACCATCATAAGGATTATATAAAATTAGATTTATTATATAAAAATATTTTCTTTATATCCTTATTCTAAAAGCTTTTTTCTATTTTTAAAAGTTTTATTTTTTTACTTTTTAAACATTTTTGTTAAAAACTAAGGCACAAACACATACCTAACCATACCCCCACACAGGGTCAGGATCATCAGTATCACTGTCTTCCATCTCCACATCTTGTCCCAATACAAGGTCTTCAGGGACAGTAACATACATGGAGCTGTCATCTCCTATGATAACAATGCCTTCTTCCTTCTTCAAGGAGCTGCCTGAGGCTATTTTAGTTACCTTTTTTTTTAGACAAAAAAAAGGTAACTCTCTGTAACCCAGGCTAGAGTGCAGTAGCATCATCGTAGCTCACTGCAACTTCAAGCTCCTGGGTGCAACTGACCCTCCTGCTTCAGCCTCCCAGGTAGCTGGGACTACAGGTGTAGGCCACCAGTCCTGGCTAAGTTTTTCTATTTTTGGTAGAGATAGGGTCTCACTCCTATTCAGGCTGGTCTCAAACTCCTGACCTTGAGTTATCCTCCCGCCTTGGCCTCCCAGAGTGCTAGGATTACAGGTGTGAGCCACCGTGCCCGGCCAACTTTTTTTTTTAATAAGTAGGAGTATACTCTAAAATAATGATAAAATGTATAACATGGTAATGCTAGGTGACAGGAATTTTTCAGCTCCCTTATAACCTTATGGGACCACCATTGTATAAGTGGTCCACTGTTAACCAAAATGTCATTGAATGATGTATGATTTTTTTTTTTTTTTTGAGACAGAATCTTGCTCTGTTGCCCAGGCTGGAGTGCCGTGGCGTGAGCCTAGCTCACAGCAACCTCAGACTCCTGGGCTCAAGCGATCCTTCTGCCTCAGCCTCCCAAGTAGCTGGGACTACAGGCATACACCACCATGCCTGGCTAACTTTTTCTATATATATTTTTAGTTGACAGCTAATTTCTTTCTACATATTTTTTAGTAGAGACGGGTGTCCCTCTTGCTCAGGCTGGTCTCGAACTCCTGAGCTCAAGCGATCCTCCCGCCTCGGCCTCCCAGAGCGCTAGGATTACAGGCGTGAGCCACCGCGCCTGGTCAAAATATGCTTAATTATGATAATCATACTAATGATGGTGGTGGTGATGGTAATAGCTATCTATGGTTTACATGGTGTTGCTATACCCAGCCATTGGAGCTTTATATATATTACTGTGTAATTCATTTACTATTCCAAACTACAAAAACATCAGGATTCAAACTACATAACCACAACTAAGTAAAGCAAACAAAATATAAAAGGTAAATCAAGGCAGGAGAAAAGTATACCTGCAGAGGACATTTATTGCTCTGTGCTTTCAACATTCCTCCTTCCTACACTGCCCATTGTTTGAGAGAGAAGTGATGAGGCTGTGGCTCTGCTAGGGGCTGGTAATCAGTACTTTAAGATCTCTGGCCTTGGGAAGTGTGGGGAGCATAAGAGAGACTATAACCAAATACAGCCAATCAGAAATTTCACCTTAAGGTTTTCTAATGCAAACTGCAAAAAGAGAGCTTTATCTTTCTCAGACAGTGAAGAGACACTCTCAGTAGCTCTGTTTTCTAGTCTTGTACAAAAGGCTGATCAGAAAGAATGAAACTCATGTAAAATGAGTCTTTGCATCCTAGGTTCTAGTACATTCTGAGTCTGGCTCTATCTCTGCCTTTCCTATGGTTTGAGTGCCATTTCAGTCCCTTTTTCTGCCTAAGCTTCCTTGCAGCCAAAGAGTCCTGATAAATAAACCTCCAACATGTTAATAGAGCCGTTCTTTGGATGAAGCATTATGGATGAAGCGATTTTTTTTCTTCTTTCTGGTGGTTTCCATATTATAGATAGATAATAAATTACATTCATATTTTTATGTTAATTTCTTATTTTCTTAATGTGAGAAAAAGGTAAACCCAGTTAATTGAACTTGCCAAACAGGATTAATCTAGAGTTATTATTTTTGTAATACCGATTGATAATGTTATAACAAGCTTTCCATATGATAAAAAGTTATCTCATTTCATAGGCAATTTCTCCTTTCTACATGTAAAATATCTTAAATTCTGTAAATTTTGAAAGGTTTTTTTAACCAGAACATTATTTCCAACACATATATCTTAACTTGATCACAATTTTAGAATGAAGGATTATGATTTAACATTTTCATGTTTCTGACTTTAACTCTGGTAAACTTCTTTTTGAAGGCAAATAATGTTACAACTTAGGTAAATATTTTTTCTTCAATTCAAGGACACCGTTACATTGAACACTGAACTTGGATATTCAGATGTAATTTCTCTCTCAGGATACTCCTTTTCAGACCAATTTGTTTAAAAAAATACATGAATAGGTTGCTCTGGTCAATTTGACAATCTCCTCATTTTCTTAGATCTGCTCTAGAGATTGTGTCTTTGGAAACTTCAATAAAGGCACTATTTTTAGGAACATCCCTATACCAAAATTTCTTTATATAGACCTATTGAACAAATAAAATAAAAAGCTTTAAATAACAAATTTTCTCATTTCTGCACTGGAGTGACTATGACTAGGCTTATAAACCTTCAAGTAAAAGCCACTAAAAAAGGTCTCAATCTTACCTCATCTGACAGATTGTCCACTCTATACAGACGGGGATGAGTTGTGAGCATAAGATAAACCAAGGGCTGATTTTTCACTTGACACATAGCAAAAATGCGTTCGTCCAGACGTGCATTTGTCCCAGTCTGGAATGATTTCTGTAAGAAAAAACAACCCCCATCCACCCCAAAAAAAGTTTTAAAAAATACACAAAAGTTTGTAAATGTCAGTTGTTAAAAGAATCTCTT